TGGAGGAGAAGCTGGATGCTATCCGCAGAAAGGTCAACTTAATGGGTCAGTAGAGTTGAGTCAACAAGGTTCCTGATAGCGTTATTGTGGCTTCCCACTTCCCACTGTGACAAAGAGAAAGACACATCCACACTCACACTCTCTCTCACACAAACTCACAGACACACACACACACACACACACACAATGTTGATTTATTCACCTGCGTATTTTTGAAGTTTTGTGTTCCAGGTGCAGCATGTTTGTTTTCTTACAGGCGCGGCACTTGGCGATATATCGTGCATCCTTTTATCACACACCCCCTCCCTTTTTTCCCCTGTCTGTCCTGCTTTAGACATTGTCACACTGTATACGACATATTATGTAATAACTGAAATAACACAAATAGATATGAATAAATAAACAGATAAAATAAACGCCTGAACAAGAGGAGCATTTAGATAATTTAGAGATCTGATCTTGAAAAAGCAAAATGTGAAGCACAACACTGCATTCAGATCATTATTATGATTGCAAAAGCTGCCAGATAGGTCAGGATTTAAAGGAGAGAAAAAGCCAATGCTCCCCAAACAATACCTACCTAATTATCAGCCTGTTAAAATGAATGAATGCAAATCATTCAAAACCTGTATTTATCAATGCAAAGAAACATCTCAAATGTTGAAATTTGTCAAATTCTTTTTTTATTCAATAAACAAAAAATATAAAATTGCTAGCAGGCTAGTTTAGCAGCTGGACTTAAACTGTGTTTTTTGTGATTCATGCTGATGTGATTTGAAGGAAGCAGGTCCTCAAATCTCATCTGAATGTTACCATGTGTTTATCCAAAACCTACATAAACACCTGTGAAGAGGCCCGTTCCATAACATCACACAATATCATGATCTCTGTATGACATAGATCATGATGTCAATGATTTCAGTAAAACTGGTCACACTACAGAACAATTTCCTCCTCAACACTATTCATCTTAATTTCATCATGATGCAATTCATTATAAAGCCAGGGACAGAGGTGGCAGCAGTATTTTGGAACATGATCAGTTACAATAACTGGACAAAGAATATGTGGAAATGCTTTAATGGAAAAACTTTTAAAGATCTTCATAAAGACTAGAGAACTATTGCTCAGAACCACTTAAAAAAGATAAATATGAAAAAATAGTGAGTGACTCAAGACTCTTGCACAGTGCTGTGATTATTCCAGATACATGATCTTCAGATACTGAAACCTCATTATAAAAACCTAAGGTATTTTACCAGTCATCTTTCTGGTTTGTTTCCAGGTATTCCTCAGCTGGTCCTCCTCACTAAAGTAGATGAAGCCTGCCCACTGGTGAAAGAGGATGTGAGAAATGTTTATAAGAGTGGCTACATTAAGGACGTGGTACGTGCTTTTTATTTTTTTTACTGCTATTGTGGTTAATAATAATAATAATAATAATAATAATAATAATAATAATAACAATAATAGTAGTTTTCCTGTGTTGTGTCATACAGGTTCAGGAGGTCGGCTCTCGGCTCGGTGTGCCGTTGTCCTGTGTTGTTCCGGTGAAGAACTACAGCGAGGAGTTGGAGTTGGATATGAATTGTGACATCCTGTTGCTCAGCGCTGTTATTCAGATGTTTCGCTTTGTTGATGATTACTTTGATGAGCTCAGTGACCGAATGAGCAGCATGCAAACCACAGAGAGGAATGAAGTCAAGAAGCAGCTGTACCAACCCGAGTAGCTGATGAATTATGCCTGAAAATGGTTCGTTTACAGCAAAAAAAACAACAAAAAACTTCGTTTATTCATCATCAGTGCAAACAGTTGAAGTTTCTAATGGCCCTGGGATTTGGTGTTGTTTCTGAGTTATGGATTCTTCTTCATTATTGTGACTTTTGAGTTCCTTGTTATCGTACTGGATTGTGAGTTTTGAGTGACATCACCACGTTTACAGTTTTATTCTGATCATCTTTGAGTTTTGCTTGCTCTCTGTCTGACTGCCTTGATTACCTTTTTGTGTGTCTCATAATGAATGTGTCTTATTACCCTCCTGTCTTGGTCCACGCTCAGTCATTCAGTAAATCCAGGAAAGTTGATTCTGTTTCTGTTTGGATTGCTGCTT